ATTGCTTTTATTAGTATGTTTATGTGTGTGTGTGAGTGTTTTTTTTTTGGGGGGGGGGGTGGAGGGGGCGGGGCAGGGGGGGTCACTTCTTCAACGAATTAGATGAGGCTGCCTTTGAAATCCTTCAAAATTCCACGGAATCTGATTAATTGGTTAATCGAGTAAACTATACTATGTAATGTCATTTGAAGAACTGATTATCAATATTCAATTGAAATTACACAGTAAGTAATAAGTTGTGACAGTAAGCCGCCGCGGCGGAAATACTGACACGAGGAGTCGTAGACGAGCGCCAAAGGAGGATTCTGTGAAGTTCTCAAACCCAAGTGTAAGCGCCAAGAGTGCAAGCTTCTGTGGAGCGAGGTTCTGGCCATGCTCTTAAACGGCGCAGTGCCCTATGCCATCCGCTCCTCGGCAACCGCCATGATCAGACCAGATTTGGACCAAGCAGGTGCATTTTGTTTGGTCGGACTGATCGAATTTTGTGTTCGGATGCTTGGTCAGGCTTCCGCAAGTATAGTTTGATCAGTATGGAAGATCCCCGTCTACAATGTGGTAGATGCGCAGGAAGTCAGAAGGGGTACAGGTGAAGCGCACGCAACCTGGTGTCGTGCCAGAGGCTGCTATCAGCTTCAACACCAAACATCTACGGCAGTCACTTGGCAAAATGTGTTGTGATGATTTTTGCTGGTACTGAGACTTCAGGCATCTTCAGGCGTCATTCTTGCGCTGCGCATATGTTGAATCTGAGTAAAACAGCAGGCTCTATTTCAAGCTCGCACCCCGTATGATGTCAAACAAATTTGGAGCAGCTCGCAGCTAAGGGCCGTTGCTTGCTTGGGCTTGCCATCTTTCTTTGGCAGCATCGTATTTAGCACATCCTGTCAAGCGCAGTCTTTCGCAATCGAAATGGTTCCCAGGGCTTGGAGACGACACATGTGCAGCGTTGCACAGCACTGCACAGTTTGTACTCTGGCTTCAATTCTACAAGCCCTTCGAAATGAGCCTGGGAACGTAAAGGCCATGTGTTGCCAGGTTGTGGGAAAATTCTCTGAAAGCCAGCGCAAATGAAGGTCGCTGCCGATGAGACAAGCCCGGCTGACCCAGCTGTGTCGTTGAGAAAAGCAGAGCCTGCGGACGCCAAAAGAAAACGTGCGTGAAGTCATCAAGGACGGACGTAGTAAGCATGCCCAATCAATGGAATGTGAATGTATTTCCCGCTTGTTGATGCAGCACTTGATGAAGAGCCACCAACAGCTTGCACAATTGTGCGGGCTCATTCTTGCGGACTTTGTTGCATTGAGGCTTTTGCAAAATGTTCAGCATGCAGCTGCAGATTTACCAGGTTATCCAGGTTGTGAAGCCATGTATCGATTGTGAGATGCTGTTCTCTCCTTTTCTGCCACTACGCAGCTTTTCAGCTTCATGCGTATATATGGTCAAGAAACCAGAAAGAGGTTCCATCATGCGGAAACATGTTGCGATTGAATTTCGGGGCGGCTGCAAATACATTCTCCACAAGACCTCCCAGGAAGAATTAGCTCTCTAGACCTGCAGCCAGCTTGACATACAAAGGCCCAAAGCTTGAGAGCTGCTTCCCGCGGACACAGGCAGCAGGAATGGTTTTCGTCTCGTAGCAAAGGTAGTGTATGCAAGACAAAGTAGTGAAGCTGCGCCCCATCTAACAGATGATGCCTGCGCCGGATCCTGCGCACTTTTCGAAGGTGCCTCCGAACATTGGGTAAGATCCAGTAGGATCCGTGAAGGTAAAGCGTACTTCGTTGGCATCCAGCACGCAACCGTGGCCCACGCGGCTATGAATCACGGTGGGCTGTTGCAATGGCACGAGTATTGCCAAGCGTAAATCAGAAGCACGCGCATGACATTTGAGCAGCTGAAATTTGTAAGTTCTGGTTTGCATCATCGCTCACGCGTGAGGAGTCTTGTGGCTTTTTCGCTCTAAGGCAATATCACCATAGTAGTGCGTCAAGCTTTTGTTTTTTCTTCTCGTTTCTGTAGTTCATGTATCGTTTTTGTCTGTCGTCCTGTCGATGCAATGATCTCTTTCTTGCGCAGGCCTGCGCCCAAATTTGTAGTAGCCTTGTAGCTGTGTTCCCCGGCCCAGAACATCGCAACGTCATGGCCCTTGCTCGCAATCCAAGGAAGATGGGGCGCCCATCATTGGAGTAGTCAATCCTTGTAGCCGTCGTTGAGACACCTCCCTGACATTGCATACCACGTGGCAAACTCCAGGAACACCCGGGCAATCACTTAAGTTGAGATAAGCTGGTTTGAGCCTGATGCGGGAGTATTTCAGGCACAAAACGCTCCGAGGCCAGGTCCTTGCTCCAAAACCCCGTTTATGCAGATCTCAGATGCTTCCGAACGTTACGCAACCAGGAACAGGCTGCGCAAGCAAGACGGTGGTTCTCTGAAAGGGTCCCAGAACTGGCTTTGAAATGCTCACTCTGCAGTCATTGCTTCTGAGGGTGTTCAGCTGCAGTGGCTGCGGCCGCAGCGGCATCGGATGCTCTTCGCACTTGCGGTCGGTTTGGGCCTGCTGGCAGGCTGTCTCACAGCTACTTACTAGACGAAGTTAGTTCGTTTTGTTCTGGGGGGTATTTTCAGTTGCATCTTCACATCTTTCCGGGCTCATCATGATGATCAGCTTCTTGAAGCTTGTTGTTCCCGCCCTCTCGCAAAGCAACTTCTAGCCATAGCAGTTGCATAGCAGGAGTTGACACTTGTTTGCAATGACTTTGGGAAGGTCATCTCAACCTTACCTTACCAGAAATACGAATTATTAGTCCCTTCCACCTCATGATTAGTAGTTATGCCCCCCTCTAATGCCCAACCCCTGTAATGATTGAAATCCCTGGTGGTGGTGGCGGCGGCGGCGGCGGCGGTGGTGGTGGTGGTGGCGGTGGCGGCGGTGGTGGTGGTGTAGCCTTATGATTCTGTGAAGGCTCCAAATCAAAAGCCAATGATACGGATGATGTGAACACATTCCATTTCTGACAGTCACTGAAAAGGCTCGTTTCCACTTCAATTCCGAAAATTACAGTAGGTCAGGGAAGGTTTAGGGAAAGGATTTCCGCCAGCATTTCTAATTCTAGAGCTTGCAACTGTTGTCTCCTGATGCTTACAACGTCGTGCTGGCAGAGGCTGAAGAAGTCTCGGGCCTGATCTACATCAGTCAGTCCTCATCCTGTTGTTCTTTTCTTTCCTCAAGACTGGAAAGCCGACGAACAAGAAGGGAGCCGGGACCGTTATAACAGCCCTGGCAAGCGGCTACCCTGAAGACGTACTCATCCAGAGATCTCTGTAAACGGTCTGACAACCTGCTTCCCCTTCCAGGTCGGATCTCGAAAGCCTTTGCTTACGCCGGCCGAGGAATAAGCCCGCTAAAAGACGATGTAGAGGCTCCACAGATGACGTCTTGGGTTGCAGGGTCTTGCGGTGCGTTCGAACTGCGCGGAATCTGGATGCACCAGTGCTTCATAACATGTATTAGCTATGGGCTGTGAACTTGAAGGTCCTTGGCGTGCTCCGAGGACGGCTTGTCGTGGGCTACCACATGAGCCTGGAGGCATGTCTCTCGGAGCTTTGACATATTCTGAAAAAGCTGTGTCTGATCGTATGCACGTGCCGGGTAAACATGATGATGGCAGCCGCTCCAGGCAATGCAGTCACGGCAGGGGCGACAAAGCCCGCATGATTTTGCACAGTGACAGTAGCAATGATTGCAGAGGCCCTGGCTAGTTTGGATTATCAAACAGGAAGCAGAAAAATCTCAAGGGTTAGCCAAGCAGCAGTTGCAGGAGAGTAAGAATAGAGACAACACAGCCGAATGAAAAGGATGCCATACGGCTTCAGGATCGTTATGCCCATCAATTTCCAAGGACGACTTGGTGTGAGGCTTGACAGATTCTGGATTCAAGCATTCAAGTTTGAACCTGAAAAAGCAGGACTCAACCAACTCCCAGGGAATCCGGGAATCGGGGGTGAGAGTGCCCAATGCTGGCTGTTCGGAATTTCTTGGTGATGGCTGGATATCATATTGATCCGGGCGGTCACTTTTTAGCTCAGAATTCTGACTACCCTTCTTGTCACATGTCCTCCAAGTCAACTACTTGCCGTGCTGGCTGCTCGCAGGCTGTTAACGTCTTTGCAAACGGCACCAAGCTGAAGCCGTTGAAAGGTAACAATTGGCGGAAGCAGGAGAAGCCCTTTCGCTCAACAGCTGCAGATCATGCCTACAGTCATCGTAAGCTTCTCGCCTTGTCACCACTGCTTCTTGATGCACCACACTGTAACTACGATTACCACCTCTACCGCTGGTACTGCTCCTTTCACTGTTGGTTTTCATGTTGGCTTCATATATTCTCGCTGAGTCTTGCCATCCTCTTCATGATCATTTCTGCCCATGACAATTGGCATGTCAACCTCCTTGGACATTTTTGCCAGCAACGCGCCGAAAGCTACCGCCGCCACCGCCACCGCCACCCGCCGCCCCC